TCGCTCTTCTTGGTTCTGAACCTAGCTAATAATCCAAAAGATAGCCAACATGTAAAATGAAGCCTAGTTGAACAAAATTTAAGATTCTTAATTTTAAATTTAAGATTCTTAATTTTCACAACATGTAAAAATTTAAGATTCTTAATTTTCACAACATATAAAATGAAGCCAAGTTGAACAGTAGATAAGAAACAAATTACCTAATCAACCATTGTAGCAAACAAAGCCATAACAACTTTTTATGAGCTAATCAAACACTCCTTCGCCAAGGCATATGTACCTGAAGAAAAAGGAAGAATATAAAATGTAAGTAAGCAAGCTCCATTATCTATTATCCAAAATCAACTCCCTGAAAATTGCCCACTGTTTGTTATTAAAAATAAGATCTAACTCCCAATGTTTGATTCACCAATTTGAATATGCCTCTATTTTTGTTAACTTTACCAAATATCCAAGGCATGTATCATTCACTATTTGGGGGGGAAATGTAGAAAATGATAGATTTACTCACTAAGATAACTTTGATCAATTAGGACATCCACATTACCAGCACTAAGTGCATTCAAGCACTGTTAATCAAACTCTCTATAGAAAAGGTTGTTTAATCATTTACTTGGTATGTCATGATAGATTCACTCACTATTTGAACAAAAGAAAATAAACTATTTTAATTGAGGCATTTTACAGAATATCCAAAATTTGACCATTAAAAACAACCACCATGACTTTCTAGCAAAATTTGCAATTAGTTACCTAACCAAAGCTAATGATCAACAAGATAACCAACAATTTTATAGCAAAATTGAATGCTTATGTGAATCTGAAAGGTTTAGCTAAATGCAAGTAAAGGAATTAAGAACAAAATAAAAATACTCGGCCTGCCATGATAGATTCACTCCAAAATAACAATTAAGAACATCAGCACTTGTCCCAAAAATTTCATTTTCTTCACTGTTGTCGCCACTCTCTCGGCAACCAAACAGGACTAAAATATTTCTGTGCTGATAACAAAAAAAAAAAAAAAAAAACAAAAAAAAAAAAGCAAGGGGGGAAAAAGTGAGAGGGAAAGGAGGCAAAGATTGATTATCATATCAAAATCCAAAACCCAAATAAAAACCCTAGATTCTTCCCAAAAAGAAAACAACAGGGAGGATAGCTTTCTACCTTGGAGCTGCGTAGAGAGAGAGAGGAGGCAGAGATTGTGGCGGATGGTAGAAATCACCCCCTCTCAGCGGGGCTATATTCCGTCGGAGCTACATTCCAGAGATCACCACTGGGGCTATATTCTAGAAATCACCATAGGAGATCAAACTTGTAGAGAAAGAAAGCTTGGTGGAAAGAGGAAGATGTGTGGTGGGAAGAGGAAGGAGAAGAGGAAGAGGTATGAAAGAGAATGGAGTTTCAAATTTTGAAATCAAAATCAAAGAGAGAGAGAGAGAGTGTGTGAAAATGTCTGTGTGATTCAATTCTGAGGGTGAGAATTGAAGAGCTAAATGTAAAACTAATCTGAAGCATTGATATTCATCCAAAAGAATCTAAACCATTGAAATGTCCAAATAGGATAAAGGAGAGTGAGACATTTTCAACCATTGGATTGAATCAATCTGATGGTGTATATTTTGATCAATAGACAAAAGTCTCATCATGATTCAAAAACCCTTCTCCCTTATTATATAGATAATAGTTGAGATTTCTTTTGTAATTTTTTGTAACTTGTATGTTGAGTTTTATGGTTATAGTTATGTTGATTGTTAAAAGACTCCAAATAAATAATAAATATATTTGGAGTAATATCAAAAAAATGCTTAAAGCCAAATAGGTTGTTACATAATTTTTTTTTTAATGCAAATATTGAAAGGGTAAATTATACTTTTAACCCCTAAAATATAACTCTTGTCTCACTCTGTCCTTAAAAAAAAGGTAAATTACACTTTGCACCCCTGTATTTTGCACCAAATCTCACTTTAGTCCCTACGCATGAAATCATGACAATTAACCCCATGCATTTCTGGTCAAATCACACTTTGGTCCTTACATATGAAATCATGATAGTCAATCCCCTGCACTTTTACTTAAATCTCACTTTGATCCCTACACAAGTGTCAATGTCCATCTTCTATTACTTTATTTTTAAATCTTTAACAAAATCCAGTCATGTGACAAAAATACGATTATGAAATGAGAGTAAGAGAGGAAAATCATCAATATTTCCCACCAATACACTTTGTCCTATGTGATAAGCACATAAGAATTATACTGGGATAAAAATGCAAAAAAGTAGAGATTTTGAAATAAATAAAAATGCGACAAAGAAATCAAAGAGAAAAAAAGATTAATAGACAAAGGATTGTGTTATCATGAAAAATAGTTTTGTGATTTCAATTTATGCAAAACCCTAATTCATCTTCTTAATTATTCACAATTTGCATTTTATTTTAACCTAATACGGTCATATTCTGATGTAAATAAAGTGTGTATTGGTGAAAAATGTAGATGATTTTCTTTTCTTACCCTCATGTCGTAAACACATTTTTATCACATGACTAAATTTTGTTAAAGATTTAAGCAGTTGAGTAACAGAAATGGGACATTGACACTTGTGTAAAGACGAAAGTGGCATTTGAGTAAAAATACTGAGGTGACTCTCATGATTTCATGTGTAGGGACCAAAGTGAGATTTGACCAAAAGTGCAAGGGATTGAGTGTCATAATTTCATATGTAGGGGTCAAAGTGAGATTTGATACAAAATGTAAGGGTGCAACGTGTAATTTATCCCCCAAAAAAAATTATTTCATTTTGGTAGTTCAACCTCTTTTTTTTGTTTTGCTTAATTTTGTTTTGTTTTTTCATGTCCTTGGTTCAATGTCCTACACCACCACTAAAATTGAAATCATTGAACCCTACAGACCAACACTCTTTTGCTGAGAGCACGCATACAAAACTTGTGGAAAACATAACCCAGATAAATTATGAATGAATTAAAGAAAGCCGGGCCAAAGCAACAAATAAAAACTTTCACTAATTAAAAACTTTCACTAATCAACTGAAATCAACACAAGTTACCACAAGCCCAATCTTCAATCGATAGAAATAGCAGACACAGAATATCAGAGGGAAGAGTTTGTGAGAAGTGAACTGTGAAGTGTGTACCCTAAAATATACAATGCCCAATATATACATAATAAAATTTTAATTTTCCCCAATAATGTATATGATAAAATGTGCACATTTTAATTTCCCCCAAAAAATACATAATAAAATTTTACTTTTCTCCAAAAATGTATATGTGAAAATGTGCACATTTTTCTGATTCTTTATATTTACTGCCTTTCATGTTCGTTTGTGTTCTCACTGGGAAGGAATGATGTGTCTTTGCCTTTCTTTTCCTTATATTTTACTTTTCTCATATCTCATATTAAAATTTCACCGTCCAAAGTAAATTTCTAATAAAATTTCACTGTTTGATAATAATAAACACAATAAATTTCATCAAGCTTTTTCTTTTCAAATTTTCACATTCATCATAAATATTATTTTATAAATTTTGATAAAAAATATTATAAAAACACAAAATTGTTGTATAAATAAAACAATGATCTAAATCAAAAGTCGATTTTAAAAAACATAACAATGCTAATATTGCTACCATTACCACCAGTTGCGAGCTTGACCTCTACACACCACCTTTACCACACAAGCCGTGGCCCTGAACCCTATATTTCTCTCTTTATTACTAACACTAATCACGATTGATCAGTCATAACAAATAAGATACTAAAGTAATTGTGAATAATAGAAAAGGGATTGGGATAATCCGGAAAAATATGGAGAATGTGATGACAATGACAGAATGGGTTGGAGGGGAGGTAGGGGGTAGCAATGGGTAGTTGGGCGGCAATAGCTATAGTTAGGGTCAAGATTGGGTTTTCAAAGTTAAAGATATAAGTATTTTTGATATCAATAAATATTGAAAATAAAATATGTAAAACTTCAATTATGTGCATGGTGAAAAGATGACATTTTGGGTTTTTTTAATGATTTTTTTTAGTGAACTTTTTAAGAAAAATTCAAAATCTTTTACTCTTTTAAATTATACTTGACTAGACAAATACAAAAGTTTAAAAATTCTTAAAATAAAAAAAAGTTTACTAAAATAAAAAAAAATACTAAAAAAAGACAACATTTTTTAGTGATTTTTTTTTAAAGAATTGTTCAAAAAAAATTAATTTTTTTCTTTTTACATTTAAAATACTTCTACCTTAGATGAATTATAAAAATTTTAAAAAATTAGTATAACAAATATATATATATATATATTTTTAATTAGATCACAAATTATTTTTAATATCTCAAAACTTATATATATACTAATATAATACAAGGTGGTTTACTCCAGGAAAATTCGTGGCTCTTTGATGTCTCTTTCCTCTGAAAATGAAGTTTTAGTAAATATATTAGGAAAGGGCTAAAGTATACTTAGGCTTTGTTTGGCATGCGAGTGTTTTAACTTAAAAGTCAAAAAATTATTAAAAAAATAAAAAAACTTATAATCTATACTAAAATGTCAAAGATTAATTTTTTAAAATATTTTTTACACATCTTTTTATAAAAAATCAAAAATTATTTCAAAATATTTTTTTATCTCATATTTTAATAAAAAATTAATAAATTACTAAGGGTTGGTTTGAGATGTCCTAAAAAAGTACACTTTTTGACTTATTGGTGGGTTTGGATTGGATTTGGGTTGGGTTTGATGTGATGTGTTAGAGAGGTGATGTGATTTAAATAAGATGATATGACTTAAATAAGATTGTAACTTTTTCACTTTTTGACTTATTTAGTACATGCCAAACTAGCCCTAAATAAGAGGTTTCGAGGCCTCAGACTCAGGACACTGTGAAGAGAGGTGAGAGACAATTTACCCTTTTTCTATAACATCGTATCAAATAAATCTGGACCGTTCATTCGGTGGTATATAATTATCAAACCCTAATCTATTTCTTTCCATTCTTTTAGTCATTACGAACAATTTTCTCTCTCCTTCAAAGCTGGAAACTTCAAAGCCCCAAAAGCTGCTTCTCAAACCCTAGCCTCTCCATCGACGGCCACTCTCGATCTTACGCCCTTCCTCCAATCTCTACGTTTTCTGGTAACTCAATTTTGCTTCAATCTCTCATACTCTCTGCTTTTTCGTTTTTGTTTTCTCTTGGATCGCTTCTTCTTTTCTGTTTTCTTTTGGATCGTTTTTGAGGTCTCTCGTCCGTGATAAACATTCTCTCTCTCTCTCTCTCTCTCTCTCTCTCTCTCTCTTGTTTGTTTGTTTTGATAAAGTACCTTATGCTCGATCTTGATCTTTGTTTTGTTGCTAATACACACACACACACATATATATATATGTAAACCCTAAGCTTTATTTTGCTTTTCTGTTCCTGATTGTGGCTTTTTGGTTGCTGCTTATCATTTGAAAGATCGAAATAGCAATAATGTTGTTGAAAAAATACATTATCTTTAACTTATGAAAAAAAGTATTGACTATAGAAATTACAAAATCCTGACATGCACTATTGTTGTCTGTTGTTTGTGTTTGATTTTAATAGTGACAATGTAAATGCATGCAATATTAAGAATAACAACAACAGTATCTAAAGAAAGAAAAGGAAAAAAAAAAAAACTGAAACCAAAGTTTATTGAGCATCCATTCATATACCCTTGAATAATAGTCATTAAGAAAAAGGGCTGTCTAAAGAACAGGTTGATTGATGGTAATGTTATCTCATTCCTTCTTTGTAACCTTCTTTGTAACGGGGCTTCGTTTAGGCATTATTTATGGAAAACCAGTGGCACATTTATGTATATTTGTATGATTTCAGTTTTAGTGCTTTCATTTGGGTTTAACTTCTAAGGGAGAGAGAGAAGGCTGTGGTGTATAAGCAATCAGATTTCTGTTCTTATCATTCTTGTTATTGTTAGAGGGAGAGGGTTTAGGTTTTCCGTATGACATTCCTTCTTGAACCATTATTAGTATTATTGTTGTTATTGAACCAGATATGCAACAGTGTTACTATTTCCAGTTTTGCGACATTCCTACTTGAACATTTTTAGTATGATTGATTGTCATTGAACCTGATATGCCACAATGTTACTGTTTCCTGTGTTTGTTAAGATGTTTTTACATTTGGTTTATGGTTAGAACATCAGGAAAATTGTCAGATTCCATACTCTAATTGTTACCTGGTAAAGGAGTTTTAAATTCTCATGCCAGTGTATATTCAGGCTTATTAGGGCAACTTGTTCAAAATGTTTGGTTAATACAACTCAGTGTGTGCAGTAGTTTATGGGTTCTGTTGGTATTTAAAGCAAGTGTAATGTGCGTGAGACTTGGTAATATTTGGCATATCTTCCGTGATTCTCCTGTTTATTTATCCATACAATCCATCTAGCTTTCTAGAATTCCAATAATTTGCTCAGCTCTGTAAGGTGAATTGTTTGGCATACCATTTTTCAGTATATAAGGTTTATGCTCACAGACGCTTTGCGGAGTTGTTGTTAACTACTTACTCCCTAAGCTTAGTATCATTTCTTTGTACGTTTGAAGGAGTTTTAAATTCTCATGCCAGTGTATATTGAGGCTTATTAGAGCAACTTGTTCAGAATGTTTGGTTAATACAACTCAGTGTGTGCAGTAGTTTATGGGTTCTGTTGGTATTTAAAGCAAGTGTAATGTGTGTGAGACTTGGTAATATTTGGCATATCTTCCGTGATTCTCCTGTTTATTTATCCATACAATCCATCTAGCTTTCCAGAATTCCAATAATTTGCTCAGCTCTGTAAGGTGAATTGTTTGGCATACCATTTTTCAGTATATAAGGTTTATGCTCACAGATGCTTTGTGGAGTTGTTGTTAACTACTTACTCCCTAAGCTTAGTATCATTTCTTTGTACGTTTTAACTTTTATTATATGAGCTGTAGTGATTGATGTTTGCTTTAAAAATGCTGTTGGACATTTTGCAGGTAGACTCTGAAGGGTGCCAAAATCGAAAGTGCAGCTCTTGTTAGATATTGACATATTTCTGGCTTTTACTTCCCTTTTTATTGTGGGTTTCCTTACTTCTAAAGATTATGGCTCCCAAGACAAGTGTTCAGCTT